GCGAAAAATTTTGTTTACCAATTATTTCGTAATCCGAAACTTGTTCGGAACGATGTCGTCATTACACTTTAGTATGTACCGTTCGAAGATAAAAATATAAACATACAACTATAACATATTAAAGAATTCAAGGGCCAGATACTTCTTAAAAATAGCATTTAATTAACGAACCAATCAAGCACAGATAAATAGAGCAATGGCGGTTATTTTTCGATGTATTTCCAAGCCTCTTTTATTTTCGTCCCATGAATACCTGTTATTCATTACGTCATATAAAATACATTGTTGTTAGATCCGTTTCTAAGTGGAAAATCCTAAGTATACCCGTTCCATTTGTGACTAGGATCTTATTTGAATAAAATGTCGTTGACTTTCGCACGATTCTGTATGAATAAAGCGTACACATCTCGATGCAAAAAATATTAAATCATTTTATCACGCAGCGTATAAATGCTAATGTGACTTGTTGCTAGCCTGACCTATTCTTACGAGTAACTCATGACATGTGGCCCAATGACGTTCTGAGCAATACGTTACGTGTGACGTAACAGAGATATATCATTCCTCCTTCCAAAGGGAGGCGTGGCACTCATACAAGAATTAAAACATTAAGTCCACGACTTAAATTCTCGTGTCATCTCGGTTTTAGAGGATGGTCTTTTTAAGTCTTCTACTGGCCTTTTCAGAATCTTTTTAAACGGCGAGTTGAGCACTGGTAATTTTATTTCAGCATTGTAATCTATTAAGCAGATTATCAAAGGATTTCATTCATGATTCATGTTACTGTACCAATTGGTCTATTCAGTTCAGAATGGGGATTTCTTCTATGCATTTGTACAATACTGTTTTGTGTCTTACTGCATTAGTATGCTATGACGACCAAACAGAAAATTCTACAAATAACAATAGATGTTCTTGGAGGCAATGAATATCAGAAATATTATAATGTTATCGGGTCATTATTCATTAGCTGTTGTGCAAACACTTGACCATGAACTACTATAATACAGTGTGGCCAAGATTTCATTAATTCGCTGTGACACTGCTAGTTTATAAAATTAGCATAACGGAAATTTCCGCCATCATATCGTTAATATTAATTTGTGTACATAAAATTGAATATTTTTGAACATGTTTATTAAAAGGAGTCCGTTTTCAACTAAACAAAAAGCGTGAAGTTAAATATGAAATATAACCCTTACACGCGTGGTTACCCTAGCAGGTGAGTTATATCACGTAGTCGTAGATTAATAAAATAATATTATGCAAGAACAGAACATGTAACTATCGGGAAAAATGTTACCTAGATTGTGAGCACTATTTGTTAGCTCGTAATTTTAATAAAACCGCGTCCAAGTGTTAGGTACTTGTTGCGTTTTGCAACCTGGCACTTAAATCGTATCAGTATAATTGTAATGAAACAAACATTAAACCGTTCACAGACTAAATCTCTAAGTAGATTATAATCTGATTTGCTTGATGATTGTTCGAGTATGCTAAACAATGAACTTCTCAAAATCCTTCACTCTATTGAGAGATTTTGTATAAATGAATGCACTGCAACCGTTCGGACCGGCTGGATGTACGCTAAGTCCGGGTGTTGTGAAATGTGAAGGCCGCGCGTCGAGGGCAATTTTAGTTGTCAGTCCCTGTGCCATTTACCTCGGACTAATACAACCAGCCCTGGCTACCGACTCACGTAGGCAGTCGAGACTTGCTTCGGTTTTTACAGCCATTATACTTATCATTATTTAAAAGTTCAAGTGCTTCCTCTCTGACCAATTTCGAAATAACTAAGGTATAGTTATATTAATTTTAAATTTAGATGTAAATTAAGCAACACCTTTATTACGCTAGTAAGTATAGTCTCTTTTGCTTTTCACAATATTTCAGTTCTCGGTTATTCTAACATGCGGAAGGGTTGTAAGAAGAATTCTTCCGGGTTTTTAACCTTCAGTTTCATAATAGGATATACTATATAGAATATATTGTTGTCATTTCAATTGAAGTGATTCACATTTGTTATTATATAATAGTAATTTACATATAAGTAGGCACCTTACGTATTTGCCAAACAACTTTTGCTTAGGAGGAAATGTAAATGTATTTTATAGTTCAGAAGATACAGATTCTATTGTATATCATTAAAACGTCATTAACATACGTCAATTCTATGTATTTCTAAGTTGATTTGCTGATTTAGGTAATCAGTAGCTACATTGGTGCAATACGACATGCAAGTCAATTTAATGTTAATGAGAATCCTATAAGGCTTTACATTCTTTCCACACACGGACTAAGATTGATCGTTGAAAGAAAATCGCATGCGTTTTCTGTTTAAAACATTTTGTTTAATTGCACTGACGGCGATCATCAAATAGTTTTGTTGCCAACGTAATTACATACAAATGGTCAGTCACATTCTAATAATTATACTGATGGATTTAATCATAAAATCGGAGGACTAAAGCATACTTATCTATACTGTATTTAAAAAAATTGTTTGGTCAAACAATCTTACAATTTACTGCTCGAAAGGCTAAATTTAGATAATTATTTATAATTACAAACGTAGTTATTTAGTTTCAAAGTCTCATTTCAACTTGATTTAGAGGTTATACGTTCTTTAATGACTCAAAAGAGATCAATGTAACTTCTAATAAAAAAATAATGAGGTCATAGATAGTCTGTTTTAAGGGTATGTCAATGCGCTAGTTATTGTTATGTTTTCTTAAAATGTGGTGGAAGATCTTTTTTTAGAGACCAAAGTCTTGGTCCTAATACAAGAATAATATAAGAAAGCTTTAATCTATTCCATTATGACAACAGTGACGTCTATATTATTTCTGAATTAACTTCGATAATAATTAAGTTCGATTCTACAGAACTAACATGAGTCACGAAACTTATCAAACATTAAGTAGTTATTACAACTTTTTTGGAGCAATTGATGATGATGTGAATGAAATCATCTAGACTTTTTCTTAGGCTATGGATTTCTGGAACAGAAACCACAAACGTGCACAAAGGTTAATAGTCTAGTTGGAATCGCACTTGTTATTTTTTGGCAATCTTTGATACATACATACCATCAGTAGAAAATGACTTCTCGGTAAAGTTCAAAGCCTTATTAAGTACCCATGGTTTTGCACAAATTGGATGAGGTTTTTACTGGTTCTGCTTCCAAGTATATCACCCGTATAAATAAAAGTTGTTTAAATATAGAAGTTCCTAAATTAAAATCAGAAATGTGTACCCCAGGGTTGCATATTGGTACCATTTCTTTTATATCTCATGACATGTTTAACTGAATGGTCTATTTATATTAAGACCCTAAAAAGATAATTAGCTTTTTTCTTTCTATGACACATACCTCCGGTATTGTCCGGTGCATAGAATAATTAGCTAGCTACTTCAAATTATTTTAAGGACGTTGTTGTAAGTAAAGCTATTTGATATACCATTAATATTTATTATTAGCCCGTACATATTTTGAAGCAGACGCGTCATAATCTTGTATAATTTGGAGGTTGAATGGTCGAGAAAAATAATGTTTTACAACAAAATGCTTAGCCACTTTAGGAAAATAACGGTAGAAATACACACAATTACGTAGATAAATATTTGACCGATGATAATGCAGGGGACTTTTTGTCATGAAAAACAAAATATTTCATGCATTGTAACAAACTGATAGTATGGGTAGAATGCTCCTGCTTCCATAGAATTGATTAACATGGCATGCGTGAATTAAGGAAGCAAGTCCTTCAACAGCTCTCCGGCAGCATATTTTTTTGTTGGATTATAAAATATTATGCCGTTGCACGAAGTGTTGCGCGCACCTAATGATATTCCAAATATTTGTTCCAAAGTTTACGACAAACCACTTTTTTATCAACTCGATGAGCTGCTGAATCGGTTCCTGGTGACCTTGGACATACTTAAAAGCTTTGCTAAGTGCTGCTCCACCCATATTAGTAAGGAAAATCTTGTATTTATTCTCTTTGAGAAATAACTGATATTCTGATAAACAGTATCATCGACATGACCTTTGATCAATGTTGTTGACATTTGTAATTTCAATAATATTTTTATGATTTACATGAAAGTGTACGTTAAGTTTAGCTGGTGTGTCATCGTATCGTAGTAACTAGATGTGCTAATATTTGACATTCCTATTTGATGTCTAAGATTGTGGTATAGGACATTGACTAAAGACTAAAACTCTTTGTTTATGATTTTTGTTATTGTAATTATTTCTGACTTGAAGCTCTCAGATTACTTAAAAGGATCATTTTTGATAACGCCTTAACTGTCGAGGAAAGTTACTTGTTACTCAATTGCGGTAAACGTAACTTCTTGTACGAGAGTGATTATCTTGAGACTCAAGCTCTAACTTCACGTGAACGCTCTTGTTGCAAAATAATAGATCGTTGTCAGCTTGCATTTACCCTTTGATTTTACATATCCCTATGTTTTATATACCTACTTGGATCAACATATCTGATCTGATACTGATGAAGTGCTTCTGGGAATCATTGATTATTAAGTACTTACTATCCGCTGAACATCATGGGATATCCTTACTTTGGAGAAGAAGTAATTTGTGTTTCTGCAGCATAACTTAGTTTTTCAATAACACGGTCAGGATTGTGGACCTTCTAAGAATGTGGATGACATTTGCCAAAAACAGTATAATAAGGTTGTCTATTTCCTTCTTTAGTTATAGGAGTGTTTTTCTGTATGATTATGCATCCTACGTGTTTTAATAAACCTGTTCATAAGTTATTACTAACATAGTAACATCAATTCAATCTAGGTTTATTCATCTATCTTATGTATGATAACAAATATTAATGACTTGTCTGCAACAACCTAAAGCTCACATTTCAATGAGATACTATCAAAGAGTCTTAACCTTTATTTACTCTTTTGACAAAACCACCGGCTCTATGTTGATAAGGCTAGTCATTGTTTAAAAAATTACATGCATCACTTACCGAGCTTTTGGTATCCATTGTTTACTATTGCCACCTCCACTGTATTATTGTTGTCCTCTTAGGATCTGTTCACTATTGTTACGTCACTGAACACTGCATTCACTCGGTCCACATGTCTGTCAAAATTGCGTTAGGTTGTAGTTTCGAGTTAAACCTCTCTCGCCCTCTCCGTGTGGCCGGCGTCGTGCAACGCGCCTGCTCCAAGCGGCAAAGCGACTAGAGTCGTACTGAGAGTGTTGCAACAATCACCAAGGTTTATATATGAGGTTGCACGCTGCCGTTTTGTACAGATCTTTTCTCATAGAATTTTGAAAATTATTGCAATTTTTGACATAATATTGCAACTACATAATGTTTTACAGAAAATTAAACCTATAGACTGAAACCCCATGTACCCATTTCTTCTACAGTGCTTGATTCCGGCGTTGTATTTATTAATTGTGGTAGTTCGCATCTGCACGATGGAACACCTGACTTTTTTCACGCTTTCATAGTTCGTCTCATAACAAAAATAATTGTTGGTGTATTTGAGTACATTGACCTGTTAAACCACGAGACAGTTCATATTAAGTACCTAACTTTTGCATAACAGATACTTCTAATTATTAGGTACAGGTTAGTTAAATACTTACCATTTTCCTTAATCGTATTCGTCATCTCAAAAATATTTTTGTGGTATCAAGAAGTACTTGAGATAAAGGTGCAAAAAAGATTTATTGGGTAAAATAAAATGAGACATCAGATGGTAATGGTAAGTAGATGTAGTTTGGTAATGTCAACACAAATATAACATACTCATACGTTTTTCCCCATGGGGCTATCCGATTACGATACGATAATATTGGTAATTTCATGGTCTAATATTGTACTTATTCTCAAACAGGATAATAAAAAATACTTTAAAATTTAGTAACAACTTCCTTTTTTTCTCAAAGCTTTATCCAGAAATGTACTTACACAATAAAGTATCGAGATCCCTGATAAAAAATTTAATAGTATTTTTTGTTAGTATTTTCGTAATACAATTAATATATCTTATACTAATAGAGTGATACTTGCTATGCTCACCAGTGAAGTTCTTCCCATTTTCTCGGAACTATTAAATATACTCTACTATCAGAACTATTAAAAGAAGTTGACACTCACTAAACGTAGCACTTTAAAAAAATAAATAAAAAAAATACAAGAAAACAACACTAGTGGTCAGGATCAGGACAATTTTCGTGTGACCATGTACGACGACTGGCGATAGCCTCTAGCCCACAGGAAAATAATAAAAAAGCAATACGGTGGCTATGTCACGTTGTGTGCATCAGTTTGTGGCGAGTCAAGTCCGTATGACGTATCCCTTAACCGATGCCAGTAGTTGCGTAATCGTCCACGTTCGCGAGGACGAACTCTCCGCTCATGGAATTTCATTACAGGACTTCGATGACTCGACTACACCTATTCTCATCGCCAAAAAACCAATCATGGTCACGACACCAACCGGACATTGCGCTTAGCAAATTATAACAAGTTTTTTTATTAAAAAACTGTGATTACTCTACTTATAGGTAGTGATAGATATCCCAATTTCGTTTGTGTATTTTTTAAGAAAACAACCTTCGATTATCTTTAGAAGAAGCCAATTATTATATCGCTCCAAACCCATTAAATTTTGTGAGTTATGTATTTTTAGTGTGCGTGTTTTTTTTATTTATTTTGTGTATTGGTCTTCATAGCAACAATTGTATATTTGACTAGTGTTAATTCTTTAGGAATCTTAATGATGTGACTTTGTGAGGTGACATTTTTCATAACTAACTTGGTAAATAGGGCCCAAATGTGAGAAAAATGACTTAATTTTCAACAATCTATGAAATTCGGAACATTTTTGTTTAAATAAAGTTGGCCAACATTATATCTTGCATACTGCATGTTATTTAAAATTATATCATGTTGGTAACCAAAGTTGGTCAACCTTACTAAGGACGGCAGCCTTAAGCATTTTTTCCTCAATAACAAACACAAGTTTTTACCTATTTATTTACCATTATTTCTCTGCAAAAATATCAAAGCTGTGATGGCATCGAAAGCTTTAAGATGACGACAATGATGACGTTGAAGGAAACTCACGCACTTACGCATAATCATGTTTGTATCAACTATCGAAGGGTATCGTCACAACTATCTACGATCGAGATAGTTGCATTAATTAAAACATGTTTCACCATATTTCCTAAGAAGTGTGGGTGGATTTTAAGGACCAGAACAAAACCGCTGTCGAGATACAATTTTCTATGGGTTCTTTCTCAATCGATTTCAGTTGTCTAATAGTACGAAATAAGGTTCTATACATTGTCTTAATTGGTATGTAGGTTGTACAGTTGTAAAGCTTTTTAAAACGATTTTACCATCGTTAATTTCGACATGTGAAATGTACCCGTAGAGCTGTAGCTGCTACGGGCTACGCGGCGTAGCCGACACATACAAATATGCGTTGTTGTAAATTGATAGTAAATATTTTTTCTATATTACAGTGGATTACCGTGTAGACTAAAATGAGCTGTACCGAGTTTTTTAAAGCCTGGTTATTTCTTAAAATCATATGAGTCCTATATCTTCGTAGCAGAATATTCGAGTTTGATCTCCATTGCTTAATTGACTTGTGTAGATCTTGTGTTTTTTCTTTTTTCTCAACTGACATAAGACGGTCCCAAAGACAGACCGATATGGTACATGGTGCCAAATCTGAAAAGAACAAACACACTTTACAAAGTACTACGTATACTCATATTGTACTCTTATACCAACAATCTCGGATAAAGCGCTTATTTATTCTAAGTTAGTAGTACATACGCGTACAGAAACGTGTGTATTGTAGTGATTTTGTAATTAACTAAGGTGTGAAGTTTACGCTTCTTGTAATGACCTCCCATGACCATGACGTATTTGCAATAAATCTACGAGGGGAATCAAGAGTTCAATGGTACTACTCGCTGTACCATGTAGTACAGAATAGTGCCCACAAGCGGTTCATTTTCATAATCTGTAGAATGATCGTTATCACACTACGAAACCACCAATTAATATTCCAAGTCATTAGTGTTTCTCGTGTACTGAGTCTTATAAATGTAATGCTATTAATGCTGGAGGGGTTTTGATTGACCGCTGAAGTATACGTATCAAAAGTTTGACCGTGGGCCGCTTATATGCTTTCCTCGATGTGCTACATTGTAGCAGCAATGTTTGCTGGTTGGATATTCTCATTTTTATTTACCCATTTCATATTTAAATAGTAATCAAACAATTATATAAATAGTTCTCTAGCCAGTGCCGTTAGTCTCTATATTAGAAAAAGTCAATTATTAAAAGGATCGTAAATCAATTCATACGTTTATTTTCTTAATTAACTAATTTTAATTTGTAACTGTTCTTAATGCGGTATGTTTGTTTCTTTTTATATGCGTGAAATGCTTTGATGTTTTTGGCAAACAATTCTCTGATATCCTGCATTTATTCTGGAAGATATTAAGCTTTAACCACATGATACGCTACGCTTGAACACCCACATAATCACCGTCAATTAAAGATTAGTTTTGCTTCGACTATTACGTAGGCTTACAAATATTTTAAATATGTATAGTATCAAGTGCTTCGACAGACAGAAATAAAGACATATCATTTATATGATGACCGTCATTTAAATATCAAGCAGGACTAATAAGCTATGCCAATATCTAATCTACTAAGAATTTCGTGAGGCGACAACGAGGCGCCTAATTACTGTTCTGCTTGAATACTATTATCATGTGTTTGGAACAGAGACTCCGACGACTTGGGCTTCCATTAGAACGGGGCCGTAATCGGCGCGTAATCGTGTGAAGGTATTATAACACCACGCTATTGAGCGCAGTTACCACAAGGTTCTTATAAGAAGTTATTCGTTAAAGCAACAAAGGATTGAAGGCTTGCTTAATTTCTCAGTCGCACGCACGACTCCAGCTTAATTGGAATGCAATTATATCATTAAGTTAGCTGTATCATTGCCCAATTATCCATTGCTCTATGAATTCTGATAACGCCTACTTCTTGACACATCAAAGGATAAAGGAGAACATTTCGCAAACTTTGTCCAATTAGCACCGAGTTATCTTAGATCAATATTTGTGTATAAAAATATTTCTCAATCTATTTTGCGCTGAAGCTATATTAAAAATGTTTTAATCTAAGTGCATTATGACGGTAGTAACTGGACTCTACCTATAAAATGTTTAGTTCTTATCATACTAATGGTATTTGCGATCCCTCTTACGCAATTATTGCAAAAATATCAGATATACCATCAAATACTTTTGAGGAAAACTATGAAGCTTCGTGTATTATAATAGCTCACAGAATTTCTAGTTAGATATGGTTAGCATTGAACTGGGTCGTATCAACAGGACTTAATCATTTTATTATGCATCATCTTAGCATATCTGAATAATGATCATGGCCACGGGTCACCTAAACATTATGTTGTTTATTTTATATATTAATAGACTGTATCACTAATTACATATTATGTGACAACGCAGAATTCACTATTAAAATTCTATCAAGGTCAAGGTTCATAATCATACTTTGTTATCATTTAAATAAAAGCTTCCAAATATGTTTCAATGAGGGCGTTCAATTTGTATTAATTGCCGGGTAGCAAATTCTTCAAAACAAATTTAATAACATGTTCAGTCTAGCCATTATAAATAAACGCCAGACCAACTTGTCAGATGCATAAAGTAGAATATGTAAAATTGCCATCCTCATTAAAACTTGTTTCGCAGCACCTGGTCATCATTTCGGCATGTTCATATCAATTGATGGTCATTATGGGGTCACGTTAATGATTCACAAAGAAGTTCGTAAGTATATTGTCCGGTCCGGTCCGGTTGTGCGCAGACGCGGGTATATTCATGCACATCGTCCTTGCCAGGAATGCGAGGTCATCACGCCTTCGTTCGAAGAACGCGTTCTGTCTTGGCGGTCCTCTTGTGAAACATAATTATTGTTGTTTTTAGACTTATTCATTCCGTATTCTATGCATGTCATTATGATGTCAGTTCGCGGCCAGCACCTTGTTACTTACCGTGTTGTCCTGTCCAGCTTAGCAACCTAACTTGATAATTGTACTTAAATGGTTTACTGCGTGACTCCTAGCCGAAGCTAGCCTTCTATATTATTTATATGTAGACAGGATTTTCGCTGCTACAACCTTCGATTTATGTCTATTAAAAGGAGGATGTTATTAGTCTTTTTGTCGAGGATATACACAGGTTTTCAAGTCCAACTAAAATGAGCGTGACCGGTCCGGTGGCAACAGCATTCCCGGAACAATATACAATAATTGGTAAATAATGTATTTGTCAGAAAAAGAAAACAAGTTTTTATTGCATTTATTTTTACATATTATACTCGATTGTTATAAATATTAAAATTTTTAAGTGTTTGTCGATGAATCCGGCATCGTCTAACATTCCATGAGTGACGATCTGAACTGAATAACTTATAATAAAATATCAAATATTCCTCATAACAAAATAATATTTTTACTGTTTCTGATAGGAAAACAACCAGATTGGCATTAAGTTGTGTTGTTTCAAAATTGTACTACGAGTCGTGACATAAAATATTAAGTATTGAAACAAGGTGAATTATGTAGCAAACAAGTGAAAGCATTTTAATTGGGTTAAACGAGT